ATGGGGTTTTTTCTAAATTTACAGTCATGTGTCATCTGGAAACAGGTACGATTTGAACTTTGTTTTCCTAATTGAATACCCTTTTTTTTCCTCTTGCTTTGATTGCCCTGGCGCCAGACTTCCAACACTAATGTTTGAATAGGAGTAGTGAGAGAGGGGCACCCGCCTGTCTTGTGGCCAGTTTTCAAAGGGAATGCTTCCAGTTTTTGTCCTTTCAGTATGATATTGGCTTGGGTTTGTCATAAATAGCCTCTTATTATTTTGAGATACATCCGGTCCAATACCGAATTTTGAGAGTTTTAGCATGAAGGGCTGTTGAATTTTGTCAAAGGCTTTTCTGCATTCTATTGAGAATAATCATGTGGTTTTTGTCTTTGGTTCTGTTTATATGATGGATTACGTTTATTGATTTGTGTCTGTTGACCCAGCCTTGCATCCAGGGATGAAGCCCTCTTGATCATGGTGGATAAGCTTCTGATATGCTGGCTGGATTCGGTGCAGAAGCAAGAAATAAACTAAGATCAGAGGCAGAGTGAAGAGATAGAGACACAAAAAACCCTTCAAAAAATCAATGAATTCAGGAGCTGGTTTTTGAAAAGATCAACAAATTGATAGACCGCTAGCAAGACTAATAAAGAAGAAAAGAGAGAAGAATCAAATAGGCGCAATAAAAAATGATAAAGGGGATATCATCACCAATCCCACAGAAATACAAACTACCAACAGAGAATACTATAAACACTCTATGCAAATAAACTAGAAAGTCTAGAAGAAATGGATAAATTCCTGGACACTTACACCCTCCCAAGACTAAACGAGGAAGAAGTTGAATCCCTGAATAGACCAGTAACAGGCTCTGAAATTGAGGCAATAATTAATAGCCCACCAACCAAAAAAGTCCAGGACCAGATGGATTCACAGCCAAATTCTACCAGAGGTACAAAGAGGAACTGGTACCATTCCTTCTGATACTATTCCAATCAATTGAAAAAGAGGGAATCCTCCCTAACTCGTTTTATGAGGTCAGCATCATCCTGATACCAAAGCCTGGCAGAGACACAACAAAAAAAGAGAATTTTTGACCAATATCCCTGATGAACATTGATGCAGAAGTCCTCAATAACATATTATTTTTTAAAGTTCTTATTTAAAATATGTTTATTAAATAAATACTGTAGCAGTAACAGGGAACAAATTATTATTAAAAAGAACTCCTAATGTTACCTGAATCTTTATAAAATCTATTTGATGATCTTTAGGCTGATTGTATTCTGAGACTCAGCTGCCATGAGTTCTTCACTTTTCAATGATCATTTACTAGTTACCTTTGCTTAAAACTATTGTGCTTCCTGGTTTATTATAAAGGATATTAACAAGTGTCCACATGAAGAGATGTGTAGGGTAAGGTATAGGGAGGGGTATGCACCTTCCATTCCCTCCCAGGGCATGCAATCCTTTAGGAACCTCTGCATGTTCAGCTATCTAGAAGCTTCTTAAACATTTTAAACTTTTATGTTGATAAAATATATATTTAAATATATTTTGGAGGCTGCAGGGAAACATTTGCATTTCTTTACTTATGAAAAGGAAATGAACACCCCAGAAAATATAAACTTACTGGACATGTCACTGATCCAAAATTTGTAAAGCCTTTCTTCACGTTATACGTTCCAACACAGATTGTTACTTCACATTTACTTATTCACCCCCCACCTCACCCATCTGCACAAAAAAGCAAGCAAACAACCTGTATAACTTCACAGTTGTCAATGGTTCCTTGCAATACTTCAGCTCTAAATCCTTTGTACCTCACCCACAGCTTTGTTGCAGATTTTCTTTCTGTAGTCTGAGAAACACTAATGCATTGTCTATGACACTAACTTTACTTTTGCCCTCATGGACAAGAGAGAATGTTTAAAAGAGTTTATGTGATATCTCCTTAATAGCATTCCTTACCAAACCAAGCAACAATGTAAATAGAAGAAAACCTTGTTATAATGTATTACTTGACATCTATTTTAGCTACCATTGTGCTATCTGGAAGCAATCATTTGGTTGATTCATTAGCATTTACCTACTATTTATTAATTGCCTGACATTCTTCAGATATCATGTTAGGATGATGAAGACTGAAATGAAGACATGACCAATACAATCTCCCAGTTCCACTCAATCAGCACTGTATAAAAGAACTTCGTGATGATGGAAATACTCTCTGTCTGTGCTGGCTAATACAATAGCCACTATCCACATGTGGCTATTGAATGCTTGACATTTAGCTAGTGTGACTAGGGATCTGAATTGTTAATTGTTAATAACAGCTTTATTGGAATGTACTTCACATACCATATAATTCACCCATTTATAGTGCACAATCCAGTGATTTTTAGTGTATTCAGAGTTGTGCAAGCATTAGTCAATTTTAGAACATTTTCATTGCCCTGAGAAGAAACCCTGTATTCATTAACAATTACTCCCCATCTTCCCCCAGCTTCCACTGCTTTGTGCAGCCACTAGTGTTTTTTTCTGTCTTGATGGGTTTGCCTATTTTAGTCATTTCATATAAATAGAATCACAATATTTGACCTTTAGTGACTGGCTAATTTAATTTCAATTTATTTAAATTTAATGATCACATGTGGCTAGTGGCTACTATAATAAGCAAGTGAAGTGAAAGATCAAAGACAGATGCTTAAGAAATGCTGATGGCTCAGGAGAAGAAAATCCTGCAGAAAGGGTAGGAGCAAAACAGAGAGCTAGGAGATGAACTTGGACACAGCCTGAAGATAAGACAGGTTCATGAAGGAGGGAATGGTTAACAGTACCAAATAATACAGAGGGGTCAGAAAGTATAGTTCAGTGTGATAGTAAGCATTCTGATGACAGAGGGCACTAGAATGTAGTCTTGGTGAGGAAGTGAGGGCAGGTGGCAATCTTATGTCATTATAGATGAAGGAAACAAAGGAACATTCAAGATAGCTTGAAAGTGGTGTCAGAATTGATCAAAATTCTGTTCAGTTGTTGTTAATGGTATTTTTATGGAGAACTGAGCCTGTATGTAGGCAGAAGAGAAGGATTCAGTGGAAATGAAGAAATTACAGATGATTAAGCAAGTTCTGGAGGATGCAGGTGGAGGTCGTCAGCCCAGGAGTAAGTCCAGTCAAGAAAAAGTCTTTTTTCTCAAAGGGAGGAGGAAGTGAAGAAAAAATAGGTGGAGATACAGCGCAGTTTTTACGTAGAAAGGATGACAATTCAAATAGCTCATTTACTTTGGGGAAGTAGGAATGAGGCCTTCTGAGGGTAAAATTTGGTTCCTGTGATTTCATTGTGATCATATGTGGAGAAGGAAGTGCTAAAACATCCTCCAGTGGGGCTAGGACTGGGTGGTTAGAGTGTCTGTCGCTGTCCACAGGAACCTGTCACCAAAAAAGGACAGATATTTTTAGGTACATAAGCCACATGACGTCCAGAGAGATACTGATGTGTCCATTTTTGCCACTAAAAGTAAAGAGTGCCCAAAATATTACATTTGAGTTCTTGAAAGAAGCGATGTAGCTCCATGAGGTCACTTTCCTTCCCTCTCCCAGTTTCCTTCCTTCCTTCCTTCCTTCCTTCCTTCCTTCCTTCCTTCCTTCCTCCTTCCTCCTCTTCCTCCTTCCTTCTTTCCTCCCTCCTTCTTCCTTCCTTTCTCCTTCCTTTGCTTCTCCCTTCCTTTCTATCGTATGCCTTCTTACACTTTGTAGAAAACATAATGCTTCTGCCTTATAATGCTCTTTGCCTACAGGGAAAAAAAAATGAAAATAAAACAAAAAATTCTTTTTTTTTTTTTTTTTTGAGACGAGTCTCGCTCTGTCGCCCGGGCTGGAGTGCAGTGGCCGGATCTCAGCTCACTGCAAGCTCCGCCTCCCGGGTTTGCGCCATTCTCCTGCCTCAGCCGTCCCGAGTAGCTGGGAATACAGGCGCCCGCCACTCGCCCGGCTAGTTTTTTGATTTTTAGTAGAGAGCGGGTTTCACGTTTACCAAGATGGTCTCGATCTCCTGACCTCATGATCCGCCCGTCTCGGCCTCCCAAAGTGCTGGGATTACAGGCTTGAGCCACTGCGCCCGGCCACAAAAAATTCTTAATTGATCCAAACCATAATGGATATAGTATTTTATTTTGTACATTATAATGAATTTTCTTTATTTTTTTGAATCACTCTTTTTTATTTTTTTGACAAATGTTGTAACAGCGGAAGAGCTAGGAAATGCTTAGAACGATCTAAATGAAACCAACTATCCATATATAAAAGAAAAAGGGCCAGGCACGGTGGCTAATGACTGTAATCCCAGCACTTTGGGAAGCCGACGTGGGCAGATCTTGAGCCCAGGAGTTTAAGACCAGCCTGGGCAACATATTGAGACCCCATCTCTACAAAAAGGACAAAATTAGCTGAGCGTGGTGCCATGCACCTGTAGTCCCAGATACCCAGGAGGCTGAAGCAGGAGGATTGCTTAAACCTGAGAGGTGGAACAGTAAGCTGAGATCATGCCATTGTACTCCATCCTGGGAGCCTGGGTGACAGAGCCAGACCCTTTCATCAAATATATATATATATACACACACACATACACACACACACAGACACACACACACACATATACATACATACGTGTGTGCATATATGTGTGTGTTTGTATATAGATACATATATATTGAGAGAGAGAGATCTATTCTGTGATGATGGAAATATTCTGTCTGTGCTGGCTAATACAATAGCTACTAGTCACATGTGGCTATTGAATGTTTGACATTTAGCCAGTGTGTATATATGTAGTATATCTTTTGTGGAAGATATACTATATATATACATATATGAAAAAGATACAAATTAATTGTTATTGAATTAATAACATTGCTTTAGAACAAGCTTTCTATATAGATATTTTAGAAATTAAAGTAAACTTTTGTGGTCTTGTCAACATATAAATAATATTTCCCATGTATTTATTTCTTTTAGGCTTTTAAAACCAAGGATGGCTATATCGTAGTTGGAGCAGGAAATAACCAGCAGTTTGCCACTGTGTGCAAGGTAATCTATAATTATTGGGATTGGTCTATGATCTTGTACAAAGCCAGGGAAAATTCAGTTTTGCCCAGGTCATAACCAACTTAGGCCCCCTGTATTAGCACCTAAAAGTATAGGATTTTCATGCTTATAAAGGATAAGGCATGGCCGGGCGCGGTGGCTCAAGCCTGTAATCCCAGCACTTTGGGAGGCCGAGGCGGGTGGATCACGAGGTCAGGAGATCGAGACTATCCTGGCTAACATGGTGAAACCCCGTCTCTACTAAAAATACAAAAAACTAGCCAGGCGTGGTGGCGGGCGCCTGTAGTCCCAGCTACTTGGGAGGCTGAGGCGGGAGAATGGCGTGAACCTGGGAGGCGGAGCTTGCAGTGAGCCGAGATCACGCCACTGCACTCCAGCCTGGGAAACACAGCGAGACTCCGTCTCAAAAAAAAAAAAAAAAAAAAAAAGGATAAGGCAGAGTCCAAATTAGCATTCTGTGTTTTTTTTGTGGTATCTGACTGCATTTTAAAATGAAGAATCGTAGTAGCTTAAATTGTCCTAAAACTTGACCTGCCTACCAGTCCAAACAAAATGGGTGAAAAAAAATCATTTTTAAAGGGACTTTTAACACTGGTATTTTTTTCTTTTTTCCCCTCCCTCCTTCCCTTCCTGCCTTCCTTTCTTCCTTTCGTTCTCTACCTTCTTCTTTTACTATATCAGGTTAATTGGACCCATATATAGTTAAGCTACTCCCATATTTATTTTATTTACTACTGGAAATTTTGAAACTGTTTTTCAACTTAACTTTTATTTAATGAGTACCTTTCTGAAGAATTTATGTTTCAAGGTTTTAGGAATTAAGATTATATTAAAATTGTTCCTTCTCAACAAGGCCTTAAAATAAAGGCCTTGGAATCATTTTAAATAATTTATTCTTAGGGATATTCTAAACTTGTAACATTTATTAGACTTAGCGATCTCGGAACACTGCAACCTCCACCTCCTTGCTTCAAGCGATTCTCCTGCCTCAGCCTCCAGAGGAGCTGGGATTACAGGTGCACGTCACCATGCCTGGCTATTTTTGTGTTTTTAGTAGAGATGAGGTTTCACCATGCTGGCCAGGCTGGTCTCAAACTCCTGACCTCAATCGATCTGCCCACCTCAGCCTCCCAAAGTTCTAGGATTACAGGTGGAACCACTGCACCTGGCCTACTAGACTTTTTTTTTTTTTTTTTTACTTGATGTTTATATGAGTTACCAAGACTTTGGTGTTTTGTTTTAATTTTAGAACTTAGGTATCTGTTCATTTTTTCTAGTTTTAATCCAGGGAATGTTTATTTTTATTTTTCTTAAATATATCCAAAGGCCTTACCTATTAAGGATTTTTTTCTTTCTTTTTTTTTTTTTGAGAGACAATCAGTTTTTATACTAAATTTTACCATGAGCTTTTGGTGTTATTAAAGATGACTATGAGGGCCGGGTGCGGTGGCTCACGCCTGTAATCCCAGCACTTTGACAGACGGAGAGGTGGGCAGATTGCCTGAGCTCAGGAGTTTGTAACCAGCTTGAGCAACATGGTGAAACCCAGTCTCTACTAAAATACAAACAGCCGGGCATGGTGGCCATGCGCCTGTAGTCCCAGCTACTCAGGAAGCTGAGGTAGGAGAATTGCTTGAATCCAGGAGTCAGAGGTTGCAGCGAGCTGAGATTGCACCATGGCACTGGAGCCTAGGGACAGAGGGAGACTCTGTCTCAAAAAAAAAAAAAAAAAAAAAGATGCCTGTGAAATCCTGAATCTCATTTACTGTAGTTAACTTATTATGTACAAAAATTATTTATTACTGTGCCTCTTCTGTATGAGAAGTTAGGGAGCAGAGCTAAAAACCACAGCAAAGGGGTGGGAAGGACCATGGAGAAGGTGACAAATGGAGACAGTTCTGATTGCAGGAAGGGCTGAAACATCTGAGGTGGGAAAGAGGGGAGCTTTTTAAATGGTGACTCTGAGTAAATGTAGGGAAAATCGATTCAAACATTTGATCTGGGATCAAAGAATCTTTATTATGAACGGTCAATGTTAAAAATATGAAACATACGGAAGCTGTTGCCTGTGAAGTCATTTGCGTACTCTAACTGCAGAGATGTAAAAGCCAGTTCATTCCTATAAACGAGTACAGATTTTCTTCCTGGGCCATATGTTTTGGAGTTTTCTTTCTTCAGAAAGTGGTGGGGTTGGGGGTGGGAGGACCTGGCAGCGAAAATTACTGCTTGACATACTCTTTAGTTTTGAAAATAACTGTACTGAATTCTTTGTATTTTTGATTCATTACTGCTGATCAAGTTAACACTTTTGAACTTCCTCATAAATATCCATAAGAACAGTTTTCAACAAAGGTTCTTATTTCAAAGCAGACTATTTGTCAGAAGTTTTAGTATTGGAATATGACTTATTGTTATGGTGTGTTATAACAGATTGCTTATAAAGGAGACTATTGGAGGGCCTTAGGAATGGCACACTTGACCTTGATTTTCCCATATGAGAGTTAGGAATGATAATCCCTGTTATGAGCCATTAATCCAATGTCTATAAAACTCCTTGAGATTCTCAGAAGATTTATGTGTACAGGATTCTTGAGTTATTTACATTATTAGCTAGGCATCCTGTGTGAATGTTGCAATCTGATTGACTTTTTCAAATCTTTGTAATCACACCCTTACATGTAAACTTGTCCTAAATACCTTCTTACCTAAGAAAAATCATCTGTTCCTTCATTCTGATGCAAGGTTTTCTTCCTTCCCAGTTATGTGTAGTGTGTGGATTTCTTCTAAGCTGTTTTTTTTTTTACTCATATTTATTTATTACTGAGGGCCTTGTTATTCAAACTGGGCTTATAGAAGATGGGGTTCCCAGTTCTTCACAGTGAGCCCCTCAAAACTGTTTTTTTGTCAAGTACACTCCATCAGGAAAGATGGGACAGCTTTACTTCCTGGGGAGAAATGTGGCGGTACTGTCTGTGACAAATGAATGGAATTGACTTATGCTTAGTCTCTTTCCAAAATAGAATTCATATAGTGATTGATTGATAATTCTTGGGGAGGAGCTGTATTAGCGAGCTTTCATTGTAAGGAGTTGGATGAGAGTAAGAATGTTGGGTTCCAGTGTGAGGTTCCAGAAAATCTTCTTGTGTATAAAGTGAATCTTGTTCATAACAAGTCCTACTTAATGTTCCTTACCATGATACGGCAAAGTAAGAAAGTGAGCATATGTAAGCTATTTTAAGCCGATGGATGCCACCCCTAATGGGTATTCCTATATGAAATATTGAATATTGACATCCTTTTGAAAGTAATGTAGATCGAAGGCTTCTTTTGTTGGAGAGACTATACATTGGTTCTCAATGTAGTATGCATAGGAACGTTATTTAACACTATTCCCAAAGATTTTACTTTAGTATGTCTGGGGTGAGATGAGGAAACTTCAGTTTTAAGAAGGACTGTAGGTGATTTTGGAGCAGGTTTTTAAACTGCCTGCTCCAAAATATAATATATCCAAGGTATAATGTTTAAGGCCTACTGTAAGTCTTGTTAGTAGGTAGGTGAACGCTGTCAAGGTCCTTCATCTTTTCTAAGCATCTGTTCTCCTATGTATAAAATGAAGATTATAATATGTAATTATACTTATATACAATTTAGGGGCTTGGAAAATGTTAGAGAAGTGAAGCACATAGAATAGGCCTTGCTCATATGCACTTAATAAATGACATCTATGAAAATTAGATGTGAAGATTCTGGTTCTGAGGAGGATAGAGTAAATACACTTTTCCCACTTACCCTGAACACGGTGATCATACCTGGACAGAATTGCATGAGTCCATGAAGCATGTATTAAAAGACTTTGAAAAGTAAATAGTAAGAGATTTAGGGGAGAACACCCAAATTTCAAGTACCTCTAACCGGCAGTCAACTTAACCAGCTTTTCCCTCCAGTTATTCCTTCACTCGAGTATAGTTGAACGTGAAACCTGGAAGTGAGCACCAAGCAACGTAGCAGATATCCAGGAAATGCTCTTTATTCCTGGTGAAAAGAACATGAAAAAGTGAGCTGTAATGTCAGAGAGAGTATGGATATAGTTTGTTTTCCCTTCCTTTCCATTTTCTTATGCCCCAGACCCCAAGTAATTCTGTATTGGAAACAGCAGGTGAGCAGGAGCCAACTTTGCGAAAGAAGAACTTTCTTCATTGTTGAGCTGTGATCCCAAAGAAAGGAGTGATTCCTTGTTGCTTTTTTCCCCTCCATCCTCCCATTGCATTGCCTCTGCCCTGAAACCATACTGGGGAGTGGGATAACTAAAGCAGGAGCCCCAGGCAACTGGAAAATGCTAGAGAGATTGTCAAGAGAAGATCTTGACAACGCTATCCTTTATGTTGTTTATGAACTCTTGGGATCACCCCTTACTTGCATATGCACTAATTTGATCCTAATCAGCATACCAAAGATGATAGGAACTGAATTAATAAATAGACAACTGCCCAGGTTGTCGTATGACCATTAGGTTTGGCACATACTAGTCAGATTCAAATAACATTGCAAAGGCTTTGAAAACTTAATCAACATGAGAATCAGAGCACACAGAAGTTGGGTTAGAACTGGCAGCTTGGATGTAACCAGGTCAATTGTCTGCTAAATCAGCAAGAGTGAAAATTCTCCTTAGAATTTAAACAAGACCCAATGGCTCATAATATAATGTTCAAAATGTCCAGGATACAATCCATTATTACTCAGCATATGAAGAACCAGAACTTGCATGAGAAAAGGCCATCAGTGCCAATGCGAAGATGATGCAGATGTTGGAATTAACTCACAAAGATGTTTACATAGTTATTATAACAATGTTCTAAAAAGCATCACAAATACCATTTAAATAAATGGGATATAGAAATATTCAGCAAAGAAATACAAGATATGAAGAAGAACCAAAGGGAAAATTAAAAACTTAAAAGTATAATAACCAAGAAAAAAATTAC